TTACATTATTGTTCAAGTACTCTTGAAAGGTCGAAGCATGAGAAAATATAATTGTGTCTTTTATTCAAAACATCAAAGGATGAAGTTCATTCACGAACTTAATACAAAAGCACTCTACTGAAATGGTCACACATCTTCACATAAAAATAAGAATCTAGAGCTAACTAAAAATGCACCCGAGGGCCCAACTCAAACAAAAACTTTTGTAATATCTTAGAATAGCACAATTTTTCGAGCCAAAGACAAAACTGAATTCTCTCTCATTAATTAATCCTTCTGCAGTTCTTCCTTATCTCTCCCTTTGATCCCGTGAGTGGACTAATATCCCCCATTTTGATCATGGCGGAGACAAAATCAGAGTTGAAGGTTTGTGGATTGTTGGCATATGTTGAGACGAATGAATTGGTGGATCCACCGCTTAAAAAAAGCTGTTGATCGGAGTGGAGGAGTCCCCTCTGATTCACAACGTTCTTGAAATAATTGTTGTCAAAATTGGTTGGAGTCTGGAGATCCAAAGGTGCCAAATTGTTGTCCCCGGAACCACTGGCTCTTGGACAGTTTCCTTGCCTAGTACGTGCAAACGAAGCATCCAAGTTCGTTTCATTGTATATGCGAGCCCTAAAGCTGGTGCATCTTGCTTGTCCAATTGTATGAGAACCTGCAGGATTTGCAAAAAGCATATATCGAGTTATGTTTGTGCACATACTATTTGGTGCGTGCTTGCACAATATTTATAAATAAATGGTATCGTCTAAAAGCTTGAATATATAGGGAGATTAATAAAGGTGAGAAAATGGTTGGTAAAGAGAAGAGACCAGATAGAGCAACGAGGTCCTTGGTGGAAAGTCCAAGAGCACCGAATCTTGAAGTAAGAGCATTAAGATTTGAAGTTGGAGGGGGGATGCCATTGTTTGCAGCAGACCGGCTAGCTGTTCTTGCATCTCTTCTTCCAAGTTTTACGTTCCAATTAGGCCCTCCAAGCTGCAATTAGGATCAGACATACTATATATTGTTATTCGAACATAAATGTTCCATAATCTGGAGATTGATACAAATGCTTTTATGATTCGA